GATAGCGCACTATAGATCCCCTGAGGAACAATTCCACTCTTTCTCTGCTATAAGGAAGAATTGTCAAATCATCAAAACCTACAACATGTATGTTAGACCCTATTCCATCTAAGCTGCTAAAAGAGATTCTTCCAGAAGTCATATATCCTCTTCTGAATATTATTAATTCATCAATGTCTTTAGGATATGTCCCTAAAACCTTTAAATTGGCTGTTATTAAGACTCATTACAAAAACACAACTTGATCCTAGAGAATTAGTTAATTACCTCTATTAGTGCTACTGGATCTTAATGCTGCGTTTGACACTATCGACCACAACATTCTTTTGAGTAGACTACAAAATTATGTTGGCATTAGTGGAATTTAATTGTCATGGTTCAAATCTTACTTATCTGACCATCATAAATTCGTAGCAGTAAATGACGAGATATCATATCGTTCACAAGTACAGTATGGAGTGCCACAAGGCTCAGTACTAGGACTGTTGCTTTTCACACTTTACATGTTACCCTTGGGAGATATCATCAAGAAACATGGTGTTAGCTTTTACTGTTATGCTGATGATACTCAGCGCTATATTTCTTCACAGCCTGATGAAACCTACAAATTTGCAAAACTAATGGAATGCATAGTTGATATAAAAAACTGGATGACTAGTAATTTCCTATTGCTAAATTCTAAAAAAAACGGAGGTTTTAATTATTGGACCAAAAACCTCTGCATGTAATAACCTAAAACACTGTCTAACACTTGATGGCTGCTCTGTTAATACATCCTCATCAGTTAGGAACCTAGGTGTGCTATTTGATAGCAATCTTTCCTTCGAAAACCATGCTTCTAGCATTTGTAAAACTGAATTTTTTCCATCTTAAAATATATATCTAAATTACAACCTATGCTCTCAATGTCAAATTCAGAAAGTTAATTCATGCATTCATGACCTCAAGGTTAGATTGTTGTAATGCTTTATTGGGTGGTTGCTCTGCACGCTTAAACTCCAGCTAGTCCAAAATGCAGCAGCTAGAGTTCTTACTAGAACCAGGAAGTACGACCACATTAGCCCGGTTCTGTCAACTCTGCACTGGCTCCCTATTTAATAAAGAATACTTTTTAAAATCTTGCTAATTACTTATAAAGCCCTGAATGGTTTAGCTCCTCAATACTTGAGCGAGCTCATATCACATCTTAATCCTTCACATCCGCTGCGTTCTCAAAACTCTGGCCATTTGATAATACCTAGAATATCAAAATCAACTGCGGGCGGCAGATCCTTTTCCTATTTAGTGCCCAAACTCTGGAACAATCTACCTAGCGTTGTTCGGGAGGCAAACACACTCTGTCAGTTTAAATCTAGATTAAAGACCCATCTCTTTAACTTGGCATACACATAATACACTATCGCATTTCTATAATTCAAATCTGTTAAAGGATTGTTAGACTGCATCAATTAAGTCAACCGAAACCGGGAACACTTCCCATAACATCCAATGTACTCGCTACATCGTAAGAAGAATGGCATCTACGCTAATATTAGTCTGTTTCTCTCTTATTCCGAGGTCACCGTAGCCATACGGATCCAGTCTGTATCCAGATCAGATGGTGGATCAGCACCTAGAGACGACCTCTAAAGTCCTGAATGTCATCAGAGACCATGTCAACTAGATATGCCCACACAGATCGCCTGCGAAGACCTCATCACCTCGATAACCATTGACACAAGACCACGGGAACCGGACAAGTCCTCTGCACCCGGTTTGCAGGCTGGAATTAAACCACACCATGCTGGTGTCGTCTGGCAAGAGGAGAACTGGCCCCCCGATTGAGCCTGGTTTCTCCCTAGGTTTTTTCTCCATTTCTGTCACCGATTAAGTTTTGGTTCCTTGCCACTGTCGCCTTTGGCTTGCTTAGTTGGAGACGCCTGACTGATTGCAGAGACACTATTGGAAGAGAGCTGAACTGGATGATGACATCACTGAATCATCAATGAACTGACTTTAGCTGGAAAAATGTTATTGTCTTCTTGCATTATTGACAATCTATTTTCCTGTTTAACACTGTAAAGCTGCTTTGACCAGTATTGTATAAAGCGCTATACAAACAAAGGTGACTTGACTTGACTTGACTTGACCAGGGGAGTCTGCGCTGACGACCACTATACAAGTTGGCACACCAGATCCTCCTGTGGGCTCAGGGAAAACTGATCTCACTAAGAGCAGTTTACATCCCTGGGCACCTGAATTAGGGAGCAGACATCCTGTCAAGACAGGGGCTGAGGCCCGGGGAATGGAGGCTCCACCCCGAGGTGGTGGAGCTCCTCTGGAGGGAGTTCGGCCAGGTGGAAGTGGATCTATTTGCATCACAGGAAACAACACACTGTCTGCTCTGGTTCTGCCTCATGCATCCAGCTCCACTTGGGCTGGATGCTATGGTGCAGACGTGGCCGAGGCTTCGTCTGTACGCTTTCCCCCCCGATCGCTCTGCTCCTGGGAGTTCTGGAGAGAGTGCGCCAGGACAGGGTCGGTCTTCTGCAAGTAGCCCTGTTCTGGCTGGCCCGAGTGTGGTTCTCAGACATTGTGTCCCTTCTCAATGGCTCTCCCTTGGAGTTATCGATCAGGAGGGACCTCCTCTCTCAGGCGGGGGGCTCCATCCTTCACCTCTGCCCGGAGTAATGGAAGCTGTGGGCGTGGCCCCTGAGGGGGCACAGCTCTTGGCATCCAGTCTCTCAACAGAGGTTGTTGAGACCATACTCCAGTCCAGAGCTCCCACCACGAGGAAACAGTAGGCACTGAAGTGGAAAATTTTCACTTCCTGGTGCAGACAGCAACTGCAAAACACTGTCAACTGCCCAGTTGGTACAGTTCTGGAGTTTCTGCAGAAGCATTTCTCTGCAGGTTATCTCCCTCCACGCTGAAGGTGTACGTGGCAGCCATAGCTGCTTACCATGCCCCTCTGGGTGGTCAGTTATTGGGAAGAAACCCGTTGGTAACATGTTTCCATCAAGGTGCTTTGAGGGCAGGAGATGTATAGTGGCTTCTAAAGCCTTTTCTCAGGGTTCCCCTGAAAGATGTGTGTGATGCAGCGGGCTGGTCCTTTCCACTCACATTAGATTTGGGTACCACTCCAGACCCTCAGGTGCTTCTGTCTGAGCTGTGCTCGCCATGATTTCACACAAGACAGGAATTTGTCAGTATGGTGGAGTGGGCATTGTCGTTCCCAAAGCGTTTCTGATGCAGCTCGAGTTCTGCGTTTGTAACCATGGTTCCCCGAGGGGAACGAGACGCTGCATCTCCCTGCCATACTTCCTACATCCCTATGAGCAGCTTGCTTCGACCTATCAGAAGCTAATGTTGTTTGTTTTGGATGTGCTTTTAAGCTTCTTGGTCTGCTAGAATTGATGGATGTGCAAGTTGCAAGTTGCAAGTGCAAGTTGATCTCCACACACTGACCATTAAAGATAGTTAAACCCCTCACATTTATGAGACCCGTGACATCTTGCCATTCCATTGGACTGATTTCACACTTGCTTCAGGACACGGTGACGCAGAGGCTTTCCCAAAGCGTTTCTGAGCAAGCATCTCATTCCCATCGGGGAACCATGGTCATATACGTAACCTAGAAATGTTTGTCTATGTAAGGGTATGTCAATAAATGACAAATGCAAACTATGTAAAGGGTATAAAATCACACAAATACATTACATTCAATAAGAATACATAGTTAGTTTTTTTATATTATATAATAACATAATATTTATATAATATAATCATACATATTTGTTGCTTAATGGATAAATAACTATTTGATTTGTATTAGGTATAAAGACAATGTAATGCATAATTTTACTAGAACACAACAATGGAACATTAAAGGGGTCCTAATTCTGTAGCCCCACCCACTGATTCGCACATGACATAGTAGGGAAATAACATAAGTGGCGCTAAAGCGGATCGAGCAACCAAGCAATAAACATGCCGTTAAACATAGCAAAATATATACCTTCCTTCGGATTCAAATAATAGGAATGCGTGGTTGAACTTTATTTTTAATGAAGTTTCAGCTGACGTGAGTAAAACATTGAGCGTTTGTTCACTTAATTTCCCTGTTGATTCCTTTGTAAACAAGACACAGGTCAACGCTGGATTTGCAGAAAGACTGAGGTTGTATTCACACGTCTTGTTTGGTTCGATTGAATCGAACTCAAGTTCGTGTCCCCCCTTGGTGCGGATCTTTTGGGCAGGTGTGAATACAGCAATCGCACTCAGCTGTGGACCAAAAAACCGCACCGAGACCCAGCTGAAGAGGTGGTCTCGGTCCGGTTCCAAACAAACTCTGATACACTTAAAAATTTCTGTCCAATGAATGGATGACCTTAGCACACATGTGGTTTTGTTTACAATTTCTGGTTCATTTGCAAAAAGGGCAGTGTGAAAGCGAACCACACCAAACAAAAACAAAAAAATCAACATTGTATTTGGTCTGGACCAAAGCAAGTGAAGTAGCGGACTTTACTGGTGTGAATACACCCTGAGATTAAAAAGCAATGCTGTGCCGTCTATATGGGATCCGACAGGAATGGCACAGCACACTTATGTGAGTGAAAAATATTTGTACTATGTATCACTATTGCTTTGCTAGAGATCGCTTGATATGTCCTTATTATGTGTACGTATCTAACCAAAGTCACAGAAGGCTCCAACGATGAAGGACGTAGCTTGTCAAACAGACACACAGAAAGGTAGTTTACTATGCAAAACTATTATCCAATCATAGCAGTGGGTGTTTACTTCCAAGTCTTCAATGTGGCATGCCTATAACCAAGCGTTTTTCGAGCCGGTCACAAAACCAGGGTGGAAAATAGCCTATTACTTATTGATTTTGATGTTTTTGAATGGAAAAACCACGCGAACATCATAAGTGGACCTCAGACAACAGTATAAAATAATTTTTAAAAAGCCAGTTCATGACCCCTTTAATATTGTGAATGTTGTAAGGTTGCATTATCAGAAAAGTGTTGCAATACCCTGGAAAGCTGGCTTCAGTGTGTCAGCAGCAGTGAAGTGTGGGTTGATCTCCACACACTGACCATTAAGATAGTTAAACCCCTCACATTTATGCTTCAGACGAGGACCACACACCTGGAAGAGAGACAGAGAGTTAAAGAAGAATTTGAGCTTTTAAATTAAGAAAATAATTAATTAACTAATAAAATTAAAATTAGCATTAAAATTAATGAAAAGAATTTACAGGTCAAATAAAGAAAGTATATTGGACAAATCTGCAAACATACAACCTGTAACTGCCGATACTCATGTCACATGCAAAGAGATTAGCCAATCGTTACGATTGGGAGCATTTAACAAGTCTTTGAAGTGGGAAAAAAAAGAGTCAGAGAAAGGATGAAAAATAGCCATCACATAAAATGTGACTAAAATGTGTTTCAATATCAAGGTAACTCACACTGCATCATTTACAGTTCGCTATGGGGAACACCATCAGCATGACCGGTGTCTGAAGCACATGTCTAAACATGACAATAACACTGAACATCTTCGTCTTCAGGGACTGTTTTGTCTGCATTAGCACGTGTGGAGCGGTAAGGAATTTTTCATTCCTATTATGACTAGCACTAGCAAGACATTTTGGAAGTGTATAGATCCGTGTTCTAGTTATTTGACATCTGATGATACACAAACTTTGCATCTTCTGTTTGGGCAAGGAGCAAGCTCCTTAGGGAGCTACTCTGTCCTTGAAAGGGTAGCGTGTACAACCTGTGAGCGTTTCTCTATGAGAAAGTTTGATCTCGTCTGTCCCTCTTCTCGAGGCAGCCATCTGTTCCCTGCAGCTCAGGACCTGCCGCTGCTGAGGCATGGAGGAAATTGAGATCATGGTGCTTTCAGGTGGAGCTGGCTGAGGAATTTGAGATGAGCATGTTCTTTTTGCATTCTTCAGCCGTGGACGTTTTATTTCTTACATTCTCTGATCTGGCAGCCTGATCTGGCAGCTGGTTTCTAGCCATGATGAGCAGGAGATTGCTGAGGAAGATGTTGATTCTGAGTCTTCTACTCAGCCTTCCTGCCCTGCTTATGCGGAGTTGTTGGAGGTTAGGGAGTGGGCCACGTAAAGATTCAATCTACCATGGAAGCACAGCAGGAAAAAAGTCGTTCATGGACGTTTGGACGAGTGTTTCCGTTCTGGGCATAACCGCCTGGTCCCGGTGAGCCTTCCCTTCCTTTGCGATGTCCATACTGAGATCGAGATGGGATGGAAAAAATGTTTTCCTTGCACATCCATCAATTCTAGCATGCAAGTTAAATTACGCTAATATTGAGGGGATGCGTATGGTTATGAGTCGATGGGTTCTATTGAAAAGACACTTGCTAGCTATCTCTCAAGGGGAGAGACATCAACTCTGAAGTCTCCCAGCCTGCCATCCAAGCCCCTTTGACATACATCTCATTTCAATGGCAGGGCATATGCGGCAACAGGTCAGGCTGCGGCCTCTCAGCATATTGTAGCAAGTGCTTCAGGCCTACAAGGCTGACCTGCTGAAGGACCTGGACCAAGGTAAGTGTCTTTCCCCTGCCACGGTATCCGAATTGCGCTGCACCACAGATCATGCCCTCTGGGCCACTAAACAAACAGCTGCTATGATCGGTCGATTGATGGTGGTGATGGTGGTTATGGAAAGGCATCTGTGGGTGAACCTGACTGACATTGGGGTGAAAGATAAGGGCTTTCTCCTCGATGCACCGGTTTCACCTTCTAAGCTTTTCTGGACTTCCTTTGAGATGGCTGTTGAAAAATTTAAGGAGGCAAAGGTGTGATTGGTGGCCTTTAAGACCTTTATACTGCAGAAGTCCAGGTCCATGCCCAAATGACAAGGGGGTCCTGGCCCAACAGGCTACAAGACTCTGGATTGTATGCAAGAACTATATATTTCATTATAGAAATTAAAAAGTATAATTTTAGCATAATAAAAACATTAAAACCAGGACCCATGAATTAAGGATGAAAATTTAATCTCTTCAATAATGTTTCATGAACTTTTTAATAGTTCTACCCCCAGTTTCACAGAAAAGGCTTAAACCTAGTCCCAGACTAAAATGTAAGTCTGAGCTGTTTCAGCTGAAAGAAATTTGCAGTGATTGATCTTATAAGGGACATCGGATGCAAAATTCTCTTTTACATGGTGTGCGAACTTAAATGTGTGTTGGCAGTGTGTGTACACAACCACCCTATAATGATAAAAATCCACCCAGTACTTGTTTTTAAATCCCCACAAATCATAAGCACTTTCTCAGAACAAGCTGTCCACAGATTCTTGGCAAAGTGACGTCACATTGGTACATGCATATATTGGTACATGCCGTTTTCTTCTTTTGTGAGGGGGTTTGGTGCCACGGCATCTTTGTTTCCAGGTGGAACGTTAAAGAACGCAACACACACATCTCCCGGAAATCCTGTATAATTCAACCAATCCGATGACGACTTCAAAACTCCTGAAGTGTTTCCACTTTTGTGTGCTATATGCATCAGACGTTCAGCCAACGGTCCGTGGGTGTGACGTCTGAGGCTGAGACTAGCGGCTGAATGCAAATGGTCATAATTGATGAACAACTATGCACGTGAAAAGACATCAGCAATCCGCCGCCGAGAAAAGAAAAAAAAAAAGAAGAAGATGAAAACGAAGCCCGTGCGTCACTTTCAGGTACATTCATAATCCTGTGAAACTTTTTTGGGTGTTGAGGTTAATAACGTGTTTTAATGTCGGTAATAATTTCACCACCACCAACTCCTCTAATATTCTCTCAGAGTTTCCATGTTCCCTTACGAAAATTAGCCATGGTTTTAACATGACTAAAACAAAAAAAAAATCATGGGTCTTGTAGCCATGGTAACCGCAAATTAGCCATGTTTTTTTTTTTTACTTCAAATAATAATTTACAAAGAAGTATATATAAGATAATATTTTTTGTGGTTATAAAAACAAACCTAAGCCAACAACAGCCTTTAAAATGACTTAAAATGCATTATATAAAAACAATGAGGCAACCCTGCTGAAAAAAAAATAGAACCATCACAGAAAATTGTAATACTATCACAAATGAATCACAAATAAATCACAAATACCATTACAAACATTACAACTTTTAACCATTAAAAATGGTTTTCTGTAGTGTGTTTTGGGACATATTCCATTAGGATTTATTGGTTTTAACAAGCCACCAATAGAAGGTGACCAATTACCAGTAGAGACCAACAGGGTCCATTACAGTATCCATTAAAACCAATACAAGTCCCATTATAACCAGTAAAACCATTACAAATTTTTTTATGGTGTCTGTTTTTTCTTTTTCAACATTACATGTTATTACAAATGCCTGCAATGGGAGCCAAAGGCCTGGTAATTGCTGCTGTCACACTTACAGGACAATCATATCCTTGTTTAATAGGCTATTGACCAAACATTTAATTCAAATATCCACTTAATCTTACATTTTTGGCCACCTTTTTGCTATAGATGACACAGCCTCTATGATTTCTTCAACAAAAACCATGTGGAAATCACAACCCTTACAAAAATTAACCATGGTTTTATTGTAGTAAAACTGCTTAATTTTCTTTTGCGTGGTTTCTGAATGCTTGAGACTATAAAATTAATCAGACAACTCTATTAATATAATAATAGCCATAGGTAACTGTCTAGAGCTACAACTGTAATTTGTAAATAATACAATTTAATTACAATTTATTTATTAGGATTTATTTATTTACTTTTATATTTTATTATTTTGACCCCTATTGTAGGTGTTTTTTTTACTTCCATAATATTTGAGGGAGGGGGCACAACAATACAATCCTGCTTAGGGCACCGATTTGGCCAGCACACTTGGCCCTGATTGTGGCGAAAGAACATTGTTCACCATTCGCATCAAAGGGATGTCAACAACTGATCGAGGTATGCACTTGAAGTATTTTAAAGCTGAAAGAACCACGTTGATGAAGAGTCGCCGTTTTAATGGACTGTTAAATCTGTTAACTTCCTGATGTTGGCGGGCTAAACATCGAGATTTTAAAGAAGAATATCAGCGTGAGCATGCATTCTTGTCTTTAAATATTCCACGACATTGGCAAAGTATAATCAAATAAAATGGATGAGTCAAATGCAACTGAGATAATGGAGAAGAAAAGCCTAAGTGAGGAGGTGTCGAGGCTGCGATCATCCAGATCAGCAAAATTGTGACATGTTACCAGACACTTGAGAATTGTGAATTCTTTAATGGTTGACAAAGAGTATCTGGAGGAAGTTAAAGGCAATATGATTAAGTTTAATGAACTGTTAAAAGATTTCAAGGCCCTGCATGAAACATATGTAGAAATGTTGGAGGAAGAAGATAAAAATGAGGATATCAGAACTTGGTATGAGCCCAGAATGGTACAAATAAACAATTTTCTAGCAGATGTGTCAAAATGGATTAACACTGTAGAAAATCTAGACTCTGTAAACTTGCCAGGTGATACCTCAGATGTAAATTCCTGTGTGCTACCAAAAAATGCAGAAAATGATGATCGTAGTTCTGTGTGCAGCAATAGTTCGAAAGGTTCAAGTAGATTAAGTAGCAAATCAACCAGCTCTGTCCATATTCAAGAAGAAGCAAAAAGAGCAGCACTATATCCAAGGCTGCTACTCTGCAAAAAAGGCATGAGCTGGAGGAACATCAAGAGCTGTTAAGAAAAAGATTGGAAGCTTTAGAAATTCAAGGTGAATTAGAAGCTGCTACAGCAAATATCACTTATCTAAAAAATGCACAAGAATCAATGAGTAATCTTCAATCTGTCACAAGAGAAGATGTGAGTGTACAGTTTGATGATATGGGTGATGTCTTGAACTCTGTGGATAAACGTGCAGCAGATGTTAAACTAAACCCAGATAGCATGCGGATGTGGGCCACTTAAGGCAATGATATATGGCACTGCTGGCCTTATTATGGCCCGGACAAAATGGATGTAAGCCTGAAGTGGCCCATATGTAAAACAGCAAAAATAACCCAAATGTATCAAATCACATGTGGGTCTCTGTAGGTAAAGATGCGGTGTTGACGGCAATGTGTAATCTGAATGTGACCCTAAAGTG